ACAGAACCAACAGAAATCAAAAGGATAGTATCAGGACACTATGAAGAACTGTACTCCAACAAATTTGAAAATCTGGAAGAAATGGACAGATTTCTAGAAACACACCATTTACCTAAACAAACAAAGATGGAGGTAGAAAAGTTGAACAGACCCATAAAAGAAGAAATTGAACAGATCATCAAAAAATTACCAACCAAAAAAATGTCCTGGTGCAGACAGTTTCACCAAGAATTCTACCAAACGTTCAGAGAACTGACACCAATCTTACTCAAACTATTCCAAAACATAGAAAAGGATAGAATCCTCCCAAATTCATTTTATGAAGCAAGCTTAATCTTGATACTAAAACCAGGCAAAGACATCACTAAAAAGGAAACCTACAGGCCAGTATCTCTCATGAATACAGATGCAAAAATCTTCAACAAAATCCTAGCCAACAGACTCCAACAATGCATCAAAAAAATAATACATTATGATCAAGTGGGCTCATATCAGGTATGTAAGGATTGCTCAACATCAGAAAAACAATCAACATCATCCAATACATAAATAAAACAAAGGAAAACAACCACATGATAATATCAATTGATGCAGAAAAGGCATTTGATAAAATCCAGCACCCATTCCTGATCAAAACTCTCAGCAAAACAGGAATAGAAGGGACATTCTTCAACATAATAAAGAGCATCGATGCAAAACCAACAGCCAACATTATTCTCAATGGAGAGAGACTTGCAATTCATTCAACTTGCAAACAGGAACCAGATAAGGATGCCCTCCCTCACTTCTATTCAATACTGTTAGAAGTCCTAGTCCAGGAAATAAGGCAACAAAGGGAAATCAAAGGCATCTGGGAAGAAGTCAAACTATCCCTATTTGCTGATGATATGATCCTATACCTAGAAAACCCAAGAGAATCAGTCAAAAATCTACTGTAACTAATTGAGAGATTTAGCATTGTGGCAGGATACAAGATCAACATCCAAAAGTCAGTTGGATTCCTCTATACCAGCAAAAAGATTGCTGAAAAAGAAATAAGGAAATCAATACCATTTACAACAAGCTACCAACAAAATAAAACTTGGGAATAAATTTTACCAGACACAAAAGACCTGTACAAAGAAAACTACAAAAGACTACTTCAAGAAATTATAAGAGAACAATTTCTCTTACAACGGTATATTGAAGAACATACCATGCTTGTGGATAGAAGACTGAACACTGTGAAAATGTCAATTCTACCCAAAGCAGTCTATATACTCAATGCAATCCCAATCATCCCATCAACATTCTTTAAGGATATGGTAAAATCAATCACTAACTTTATATGGAAAGGAATAAAATAAAATAAGCAATGCACTATGGAAAAAGAAGAACAAAGTAGCAGGTCTCATACTCCCCTATCTCAAAACCTACTATACAGCCACAGTAGTCAAAACAGCCTGGTATTGGTACAACAGACATACAGACCAATGGAACAGAACTGAGAACCAGAAATATATCCACTGACCTATGGTCAACTGATCTTTGACAAAAGACTGAAATCCATTAAATGGGGAAGAGATTATCTGTTTAACAAATGGTGCTCGCAAAAATGGATATCCATTTGCAGAAAAATCAAAGAAGATTTGTCCCTCACACTACATACAAAAATTAACTCCAGATGGATCAAAGACATAATTGTGAAATCTAAAACTATAAAGTTCCTCAAGGAAAAACTAAGGGCAAATTTAGGGAGCTCTGGTGGTGTAGTGCCTAAGGCATTTGGCTGCTAACCAGAAGGCTGGCAGTTCAAACCATTAGCCACTCCTCGGAAGGAAGATTGGGCAATTTATCTCCGTAGTGATACTGCCTTGGAAACCCAAGGAGGGGTCGCTATGAGTTGGATCCAACTCAATGATACTGAGTTTGTTTTTTTTTTGGTTTTTAATATATGGCATAAATAGACTATCAAGCATAACCCAAAATGCACAAACAGCAGAAGAGAAACTAGATGAATGGGACCTTTTATTTATTTATTTATTTAAATTTATGTATTTATTTTTTATTTATTGTGATTTGGGTGAAGATTTACAGAGCAAATTTACTTTCTATACAGCACTTCACGTACATCTTGTCTCATGTCACTGACCACA